ACATGGCCGTTACGAGAATGATGACGATGAACGTGATCGGAGGCAGCAACAGGGACAATGGCGACAGCATGATTGGTATCAGGGTGAACGTGCTTCAAGGCAGAGGAGACCTAGGTAAAACATTCCTGACATGTGGCAACAAGCAGCATGGCAGCGGCAGAGTCACGGCAGATGGAGATTTCAATGTTTAGGTCAAGGAGGATGAGGATGTGATGTCTGCTGTTCGCACAGGTGAGCTGTTGGCAAAGCCCAAAGAGGTGCCAGCTCGAAACTGTAATTGGGAATTGCTCCGGCTCAGCTGCACCTACAACTTACTTGACCTGGTGCGCATATTCAGGAGTGCTTCCAGTCTAAGAGAAAGAGCGACAAGGCCTCAACTCTGTTTGCTGACTTGGCTGGGGAGTGTGATTGTTGGTCAGCAGTTGGATTGCGTTCTCATGATTCATGCCTCGGCAGCTTAGTGATGACACTGCATGCCAATGATGCGTTGAGATAGCCACCACCCTACACCTCCTTGCGCACAAGTCAAGATTCTGCTAGGGCCACAATTCATGTCATGTTATGACTCATTCCACCTTCTGAAGACCCTGTCAACTTTTCCCTGAACTTCTTGGCAATGGCCATGATCTCAGCGTTTAAATGCCTGAGTACGGCAGAGAGGAGCAGAAGACTGTGATGTCACAAGCAGCAATTTCCAAAGAGTTAACTTGTCGGACAGATGAGTGGGAGCACTTTCAACGGAAAGGTTTGCTCATACGAGGTCATGAGAACATCATGTGAAACCGTGAATCCCGAACCACAGTGTAAAGAAGCCATGCGCTTACACTAAGTTGCACATTCAAGTGAACGCTTCAACATGATTCCCCCGAGGATCCCTGAGGCATAGGTAAGCCATTTGACAGCGGTAAGATGCTGGAAGTCATGGTGATCTAGTATCGGTGTGGGGAAGATTACGCATGATTTGTGGCTCTCAGATTGACTGGAGGTTGAGCTGGCAGGTGCTCGCGCAAGCCTGCTCGCGAGCCAAGTGCTGGGAAAACCAGCAGGAATCCTAGAGCTGGGCTTGCAAAACTATGCAGCAGATTGCAATAGACATTAATTCACATGTGCTGGGCTTGCCCGAGTTGGCATTCAATTCCGCACGAGCAAGAGCAACGCTTGGAAGCAATTGTTGCACGTACAGTATGTATGCATCCACGTGGGCTGGCTTAAAGGGCAGCGGCAGCACGGCAAAGCATGGCTTTTGAAGCTAGTGGCGCTAAAGGATTCAAAAACACGTAAACCAACAAGAGCCACATTCTTGGTGCCTGAGGTGAAGATTAGAAGCTCTCCAGCAGCTCGCCCAGAAGCCCCAAGGCCCTTCCTGATTCCCACCGAGTTGTTCGACTCGACAGAGTTTTCTTCAAGTTTTCTCCCACCGACAGAATTGGAGCAGCTGATTTCTATGTTTGGGGGCTCGTTTGTTTCGTGTTTGATAATGTTTGTACAGTTACATCTTGTCTTGTACGGTATTCTCACTTTGGACTATGTAGTGGGCGGGTCGTACATCCAACCCTCACTGAAAATTGCCGATGCTGAGGAGCAGAGCTTTTGGGAGTCGGCGTAATGGTCTAACCAGTGGCCAGGGGCTGGACCCAGTGATCCCATCAAAGTCTGGCCAGTGGCCCGGCACAAGATGCCACCATAATATGCCACCAGTGCTTATTTCACAACGGCCTGGAACAAAAAAAGCGTTCGTCGGGTCAGAGTAGCTCGAAGCAAAGTAATTATATAGTATTAAGATTATATAATTACTGAAGATGACTGAAGTATACTGAAGTATATATTAATTTCAAGAAGCCGAATGCTACGTGAATTATCCTTAATCCTAGAATGTGCACCTGCGGGGTCAGCAAAAGTCAATGGTCCTGACAATGCAGTTACGGCGCACGAACTTTGAGCGGTTCTGACTCACGTACCGCATGGTGATGGATGCAGAGCGGAAAGAATTTGCCAGTCTTTTGGAGGTCGGACACAGCGGAATTGCGGGGGCATACGGTCACAGCCAGGCATTTGGGCTCCTTGCGAACAGTGGCCGTCGCGATGGTGGCCTGACCCTCGATGCAGTTTTGAAGTGGGTACTGTAGTGAGCCTGACTGTGATGATAGTACAATTGTCACGACAAGAATGGTTGAGTGGCACTGTTTCACAGCATGCTGCTTTGCGGTTCTGGCTTCTTGGTTGGACGCTCACACGACCACCGATTTACAGCGATTTACGCAAATCTGTCCAATGTTTACAACGTGCCAGATAAGCCGCAGATCAATCCAAGTTTGCAGAACCTGGTCAAACGTACCATTGACAACGCAATGTGTTTCTTTGCCGCTCCTTGTTCACCTAGCTGTCTACTCTGCTCGTGGTTTTGGCGGATGGTGCTCGCCCAGCATTGTGTTGCCAAAGGTGTTCTTCTCAGGCATTCCAAGCTAGGCCCTGCGGGCATCCCAGACAAAATTGTGGGGAGCAAAAGATAAATGATGGTTACTGATGGTTCATATGATACACATGTTATTCCTCCTAAGTACTGCCACCACCAAGGGAACTGGCTTGGCCTTTTGCCGCAGCCGACCTTTGGGAGGGGGACTCAGTGCTAAGCTGGCTGGCTTTCCAGACTAAGGATCTAGTAGTTGACGCAATGCCACAATCCGCAATGTTTTGCAATGTCAATGAGTGTGTGCCACACATGATCTCATAGGTGGCATGCTCCTGATAGAAGTTACAATTACTACGCTAATTCGGATTCTGCGGGGCTGGCAGCGACATGGCAAGTTGTACCAGTTACAACAGTTTTAAACACAATATATATATATATGTTATATTGTTTACACGCATATGTAAGTGTATACTATAGGCCTTCCCAGAGAAGTTTATTGAGTTGTTGGGCATCGAGATGACTCCGAGATGAACTTGTCCAAATTCAGCACTGATACTGCAGACACCGAATTCGCTCTAGGAGTTGCTGCTAGCGCCGGGGTCGTTGCTGTGAGGGCTGGTGCTCGAGAGGTGCGATCTGGCGACGAGGCTTGGACAGCCTGGCCTTTTGAGTGTCCTCGTCATATATGCTGACCAGAACTCTAGGTCAGGTCTAGGTGCAAGTGAAGACATCCTTAAAACTAGCCCTGGCAAGACAAACTTTGCCGCGTATTGCTTCCATTTTGGGGAAATGCCTCACTATGAGCAGATCTACGTCAAGTACGAGGGCCAGCTTGCAGAGGTGCACTTGATTGTTGCTGTCACGCATGTGTCGCTTGGTTGCCCGTGTGTGTTTTGCAATGTTTCACAACTCACATTTTGGGTAGAGGTGAGTGTGACCTTGTATGAAAAGATTATATATACTGTATATATATAGCGACGGACAAACACTTAGAACATAGCTTTTTTTTCCAAACGACGAAACTCATGACTTAGAACAAAAAAACTAAAAATGGACATGTGGTTAGAACAAAAAACCTACACACTAAGAACATATCCAACCAGCACCGGTAAGAACATATCCACCCATCACTTAGAACACACAAAGATAGGTTTTAAAGATAACAAGTCCCGGGATGTGCTTAAGAGATCTTAAGAGTTCTGTAGTTTCTGCAAGGACGGCACAGTCTTTGACAGTTCTGAAGGCAGGATCCTTGAGAAGCCTAGAGGCATGCATGCATGGCCTGGTCAAGAGTGCTGCCTTCCTGTGCTGATAGGCAAGGAGCCTTTGTGCTTCACAGTTGGGAGCGGGCAGGTGCCAATCTCACAGATCAAACCGCTGGAATTTTGTTCCACAAAATGCTTCAGTCACAAAATTATGTTTTACAATGCCTGCAAGACATCTATGCAGCAAGGTGGTGCCGGGCTTTGACAAGGCGGTGAGGGGATTGAAGGTGCCGGCCAGCTGATTGTTCCTCGTGTCCTGCAGAGACCCTTTGCGTTGTAGGTGTTTGGTTTTGTCTACTTCTGTCAGTGGTGCAATCCGAAACAGCCAGCAATTTCCAGACAGGTTGGGGAAAAGAAAACCGTGACCATCGCACCAGAGGAGCCCAAGAACATAATGCACAGAGATTGCAGATGCTGTGAAACTTGCATTGATCGAAGCTGGTAGCCTCAAGGTGCTTCGAGATTGAGTTTAGTTTGACAGATTGCGCGGCACTTGTGAGAGGATGCCTATGGCCAACGCTCGGATGCACCAATCTCAGCTGGTCAAGCAACAATTGTCCTTGGTGGAGGCATTACAGAGGAGCTTCTCATGCAACATCATGCATCTATTCCTGCTGCAACTAATACTGTATATTATATAATTACAGTACATTCAATTACTATATATACATATATATATATAACATTGAACTATCTCTCTGAACAAATAGGCACATATACATATATCATATATACACATTATTACGTACCAAAAAGCCGACAGGCAATGATCATGAACATTCCAGCGGAGCAAGTGCCCAAAGGGCTGGAGGCTTGGTCCAGATTGTTGACTGCGGAACAGAATAAGGAGTTCAGCAAAGTCCATCAAAATCCATACTTGTAGCTCCTTATACTGCATGTGTATATTATGTGTATATATATATATGTGTGCAGAATAAATACAAATTCAATTGCATATTATTATAGAATACAAACTCAATTGCATATTATGCATATATATATCTATATATATACCTTTTTGCAGGGAAGGACTTGAGGATGTGATCCTATATCAGAAGTTGAATTTAATTTTGTTTTATTGCCAGTGAACTCCACTACAGTTATATCATGTGTTATTTATTTGTCGGATTTTTCTCAGCCATTTGTTGTGTTATTTCAGTAGTGTCTTGCTTTTGCCCCTGCTCCCGTTTATGCTTTTGAATTTTGCTTTTGCTTTTGATTTGCTTCTGCTTTTTTGTTTGCTTTGTGCTATTGCTTTAGCTTTTGCGCCTCGGAAGCTGCCTTGTCACACATCCTTTGACTGTTGTCGTCGTTACTTACGATTGAGTGTGTATGGGAAAAGACCGTGGTGGAAGGGGCCATTCCAACGCATCATACTTTTGTGAGCCATCCGCGGGCAACATTTAAAAATAGAGCAGCAAGGGGCCATTCAATGTAGCATCATACCTTTGATGAGGAGAAAGGGCCACTCCAATGTATCGTACTTTTGTGAGCCACCCACGGGTAAACTTTAAGATCTTTAAGGCAGGCAGCAGCCGTTCCAACATACTGTAGCATACCTTTGACGAGCATTCCGGAGGGAAAGCTTAGAGGAAGGGGGCACGCTGCCGTATACCTCGTTTGAGCCACCCGAGGACAAATTTTACAGGAGGCAGGAGCTGTTCCAACATAGCATACCTTTTGTGAGCCGTCCACGGGTAGAATCTAGAGGAGGAAGCGGCCATTCCGATGTTGCATACCTTTTGTGGGCCACCCGAGATCACCCAAGCCTAACAAGTTAGAGGAGGAGGGAACAGTTCCAATGTAGCGTAGCCATGAGCCACCCGGCCATAAATTTAGATCCACTTCAATGTAGCATACCTTTTGTGGGCCCTCTTTGCTCCTTCTTCTTTGCCTTCTCGTCCTCTCTCCCTATCTCCTCTCCCTTGTTCCCTCTCTCTCCCACTCCCTCTCCCCTCCTCCTCTTTGCTCCTTCTTCTTCGCACTCTCGTCCTCTTTCCCTGTTCCCCGCCTCCCTTTTGCTCACTTTTCCTTTTTTCTGCTGCTCCTTCTGCTTTCTAAAACACTACCCGAAAAACATCCACAAATGGCCGGAAAATTAGACAAATACATATCAGCCTGCCTGAGGAGGAGGCACCGGCTTGTAAACTTGCAGAGACACGTGGCAACCCATGCAGGAAGGTATGCAGGTCCTTTTGGGTGGACCTTCCCAAAAAATCCCTGCGCAGGGGGCCTCAGCTTGTCCTGGCACTGGCCGGGGATGAATGAATGTACAACAGGATGTGGAGCTTGTATAAAAGGAACACTGCTAGACAAGTGATTACTGTGCATTAAAATGAAAGATAAAGGCAACTACTCTAAGCTCGTTGGGTTTTCAGCGATCTTGGCCAGCATAGCTGAGGAAGGTGAAGCAGGCCAGGGCTACCAAATCAACGCAATGTTTAGACGTCATCCACCTTATATTATATAATTAAGTAAGACCTAGCAGTCAGAAACACACTTTCCGACATGAATCAAGGTGTTGCGTTGCAATATCTCCATTGTGACATTTGTGACAGTTGACTTACTGTAACCTCTGTTGGATCGTGTTTTGTAGGTACTCGACGATGGTTCTGCTATGCTGGACATGAATCATCCTTTGGCTGGCAAGGAGTCCAGGGTTGGGCGGAGGGGCCTATATCAGTTTGTTCTAAGGTTGAATGGCCGGAAATGCGTCCGTACGAGCCGTGCCAGTTGAAGTGACTACGTTGAAAAGGGTTGGAGAGGGAGAGTTGGATCAAATCACTCTGGCCTGGACAAGATTCCTGATGCGAGGGGTCAACCCAACCCTAGGAGCAACTACATGGCATTCAGATTTGGATTCGTCGCTGGATGAATTCCGTAGAGACTAAGGGAAGTATCGCTTGTTGTTACGAAACGGGGGCATAATGCGGGATCAAGGGAATGGCAGATCGCATCTCTCAACAGCAGTATTACATAGGTTCGAATGAATAGCTGTCAATTTCACGTCAACTCTGACCGAGGACTTGAAGTTCAGCATCGAGTTGGTGGGGTTTCGAGAGGCCGCTTCGCTGCTTCAAAGGCAATTGGTTTCAACATGTTCAACCCTTGCGGTTGCCGTTCATTCGATTCAATCTGCCACAAAGTATGCCACCGTATGACTTTCAAAGATCAGGCATTTGTCACAAAAGCAGAGCAAGTGGCCTAAATGGCCAGGTCGTCAAGGGGATGGATGTCGTTGGGTGGAATGGCAAGGTGGTCAAGGCAAACTGATGCACTGCATTATATATTGTGGTCTAGTGCAAAAAGCCATGAGAGTGTGGCCTTAGTAGCAATCAGTCAAGACAATCTGTATATATAGAACTTAGAACTCTTCAAGTCAAGTGCCATCCCATGCCATACCCATCACGGCTGACACGTTGCATTTGTGTGATTGAAAGTCCATCATCATCCATCGTCAACTTTTGAGTTTTGCACAGACTCAAGACTGCGATGGCCTTCTTGGGAAGCATGTGTGGTTCTTTCATGGGGCAGAGGTCCCTTTTGCCATTGCCAACAGCCCTGTGAGCTGAGCCTCAGTCAACTGCACAGATTCAGATGAGGCAATGCGACTTGAACACGATCGACTGTCGATAAAGCCGTCAGTAGCTGAATGAGGGATGTTGATTGTGCATTGGACACCCCGGGAAAGTAGTGTAGATTTGAGCACTGAAATCCCATACTCCCTTGGACCTCGGAGCGAATCGAATCATTCAGTTTTTGACGGTCCCTGAGAATGAGTCATTGAGCATGCCCAAGTAAGTATATAATACTGACATCACAAAGCTCAGATGCAACAACTGATACCACATGCCCGCAGCCTCCAGCCCCCAACCAGCCGTAAACCATGACCATCGAATCCGACGTCCCTCGATCCAATTGTGCCAAGTTCCGCGTCTAAAAATTGGATTTCTATGGATTTCTCATTCGGTTTTTCACGTGCCCTTCCTCACGGCTTCTCCAGACCTGGCCCAAGCGCGCTATACGGTGACTACTTCTTGATGCTTCGTGTCAAGGTGAGGTGCTCAAGGAGCCCAAGTGGCCCGAGAAGTGGCCCCTCAGACAGGCAATAGCATGGGTCGCCGCTCTGCAACCGGTAGAAATGCAGTGCAAAGTTGCTTTGGCCAGTCTTTCACGAAAGGAACTGTAACTGGACCCTTCTGGGGGGGGAATTTTCATTGCGCATTGAACAAACGATTGGACCCAGGTGAAATGTTGGAACGGAAGGACACCTTCATCGGGTTTCACGGAACAAATCGGACTTCTACAAACAGCCCTGTCCCGGCCGAGGCCATACACTGCGGCAGACTTTCGGCGCCAGGATGAGTCTGACGATCAGGGGTTCTACAATGCGCCCTAAGCTCAGCGAAAGCCAGATTGCCCTGGTGGGCCAAATATCTTCCACTTGTCATCACTTGTCGACATGTTTGTTGCCTTTTTATGCCTTTTTCCTCATGGGTTGGCCCTCGATCCCTTTGCTTTTGTGTCAAAGTTGGCAGGAGAACCTACTGCCATCTATATATTGCCTAGAGGTCTACCGATGTCTCCCTCGCTGGAGGCCCCGCTTTGTCACTCATATCGACAATGATGCCATTGAGTCCATTCGCAACCTTTACGCCTTGCAGTTCGCGGAGGTGCATGGGGAACCTTGAGAGATGCTGAAATGACATCCAGCCTTGGACAGATCTTTGATGATCTTTGATCTTGCAGTGCCAAATGACGAAACACTGTGGACAGGCTTTGTCTCCCTGATGTCCATTGAATTTGTCATTCAGGTATTTATTTTGTTTATTACTTTTGTTGTTGTTGGGGACGTTATGTCTGGGTGGTGGTTTGCATATTGGGTGATTGACCCGGGATTGAATACTTTGAGATTGTTTAGATCACCAATCTGGTGTCGGATCAAGATGACAGGAACGTGTCAGTGTACTGAGATACGCATTTGAGACCCTGACTGAAGTGCCTCTGTGCCAGGCACCTCAAGGAGAGTACAGCGTGCTTGACATTTGTAGCTCATGGATTAGTGAAGGGCTCAGTGGCTTAGTTGTATATATATATATATACTTGGTTCGGTTTAAGGCAGATATGGAAGGTCTAATTGTGTCAAGGGTTCGAGTCAAAGATGGCTCCCCACAGAGCTAATGAATAGAACTGAGGTCACTATCCGGAAGATCTTAAGGCGAAACGAGTTGCTATCACCGGAATGGTGGAGGAGGTGCCACCAGAAATCAATAGCACAAGAGTGACTGAACTCACTGCCCGCTATGCATGAAGAATGGTCCATACTTTCGTGCGCAGGAGCTCGGCGCAAATAAACAGGCGACAGAGTACAAAGCCTGAACCTCAGAGACTGCACTATTGTCAGACGGAAAGGGTTGGGAAACAGCTTGAACAATGTGGGTGTCTGTGGCCATTAATTCAATACATGTTATATAATTATATAGATATTAAAACGCAGAGATGAACAAAAACAGGTAAGGGATGGTAAGGGCCCCCTTAATGGCAACCTTCACTCCTTTATTTAATCATTTTTTACAGATCTGTGTGCACATCTTTGGTTTGATTCCATTCTTCTTTGTAGATTCGGACGCTCGTAGATCATCGCTGTCAGTAGGTTATTGACCTCAGTTTTTCCAGCAGTTATGTGTTAAGTAGTTGGGGGGCCTTTGCTACCACACATAGACAAGGGCAATTATATGATATCGGGGAAATGTTACGTGCTTTTTTACTTGGTTCCAAAAATGAGGACTTTTGTGGGGGAGCAATGTTGATCTGCGCTGGATGCATTTTCCAGTGCCGTCCCATACTGGTTGGGTTGTGTACATAACCCTTGGCAAGGAGGTCTCTACTACTAGTCGCTAGTGTAGGTTGCTGGTATCATGGTCATGTTTGCCTTACTTCTCTGACATGCATCAGGTCGCCGACCTGAACAAGAATCCCAAGTTGCCCTACGATGACAACCAGTTCGATTTCGTCACTAATGTGGTTAGCGTAGATTATTTGGTGAGGCCAACGGAGGCCCGGCGCCCGCGGTCACAACGTGAAGTGCTATAGGTCTTGTTTTGGCCAGAGAAGAAGATCACCACAACCAATCAAAAGATATCAAAAGAAGATGCAGCAAGCGACAGTGCCAATGCAGACATTGCCATTGCAGTGTTTACGCAAGTTGTTTCCAAGAGAGTCGATGGCCATCTTCCTGGGGCTCTTGCAGGTCTTCCAAGAGATGCATCGGGTTTTGAAGCCTGGAGGCGAAGGATTTGAATTTCGACCTTGAGGTAAGTGCTTTCCCTTTTAGAACTACTTACAGGAACTGTCACGATTACATTACATCATTGCTTTAGCGGCTCAAACAGAGTCGTTTGCGTGATCAAAACGCATTTTAAAGAATTGAATCAGAAGTCTTTTTGAACGCTGGTTCGAATTGCGGGAAAAAGTTGGTCAACATCAACAAACAGTGACTTAATGTTCGATCCTAGTAAGCGGCCCCCCTAGCAAACAATCCAGGGGGTCTGAAGAGTATCACTGCCACCAAAAGAAGTAGTAGTGTAGCAGCAGTCGTAGTCGTAGTCGTAGAAGAGATAAGTAAGGATTTGAAAGGGCAGCTATAGCAGAACAATAATAAAATTACATTTTTCCCGTAGGGCTCCAAGTTTGCTTATTACAATTCATACTATTCAATTACCCTAGGCTTGTGTACTAGCCCCTTGAAAAATTGTTTGGAGCAATGAAATCGTTGAGTTTTAATAAGCGTTTTTGAAAACAGCTTTCAGGTCAGAATTCTATGAATCAAGCAAACCTCAGAAGAGTTAAGTAAGGATTTGAAAGGGCGGCAATAGCAGAACAATAATAACGTAATAAAGTTATATTTTTTCCCATAGGGCTCCAAGTTTGCTTATTACAATTCATACTATTCAATTACCCTAGGCTTGTGTACTAGCCCCTTGAAAAATTGTTTGAAGCAATGACATCGTTGAGTTTTAATAAGCGTTTTTGAAACGGCTTTCAGGTCGGAGTTCGATGAATCAAGCAAACCTCAGAAAAGTTAAATAAGGATGTTAAAGGGTGAGCAATAGCAGAGCAATAGAAAAACAATCAAATCTCAAAAAAACACTGGGTGATTTGTTTTTTATTCCGACCCATTAAACTAATCAGGGTGTGCGAATAATTTGGCGAAACGTTTTATTATTCCGTCCCATTATACTAATTTGGATTCAACATTAAAAGTCCGGTGTTGACATAATCATATGATGTGAAGAGCAAAAGCCAGCGCAAGCACCCGTTCTGGAGGGTGGGCGTGCTTGGGAGAGCACACACTAGCTCAAAACCCTTAGAAAACACTGTAAATACTGTGCAACATTTCAAAAACTGCTCTGAGAACTAGGCGAAATGCAATTTTTTTGATCTGTCTGTGCCCAGTCTCCATGTCCAAAGTCAATGACAACAAATAACAGCTCTTCGTTTGCCCACTATCAATGTGCAACACCAATGATAAATTTTATCAGGTAAATCTCTCTTTGCCCACAATGAATGTAGCATCATGAGCGAATGAAGTTAGTGGTGGCGTTGATTTAATATCAGATTGTGTTTAACATCGATTTAATATTAATTGTGGAAATTGTGATGCTTAACTAGATTTGAATTGATTTTGTATTTGTTTGCTCCCCACTACAAGGCAACATCAAATAAAAGGACTTTAGCTAACATCTAATTATAAGAATTGATTTCCACCATTAGCTGTTAACTGAAAATTAGTTTCCACAATCAATTCTAAAAGGGTCTTGATTGATATCCAATACACAAGCAATTCAATCAAATTATGTTGAAACGCAATTAAGTTAAAATCTAAACAAAAAGCAATGTCCACAATGATTTTGAAAAGGACTTTAATTGACATTTAAGTAATGACTAATTTCTACAATGAAATATAATAGGATTTTGATTTAAATCTAATTCAAACTCAATTGCCACAATGATCTTGAAAAGGAATTTAATCGAAGTTGAATTACACATTTATTTTTCTATAATTAATCTTGAAGACATGGTAATTGAAATCTAATGAAAACATCAATTTCCCCAATGATTTTGAATATGATATAAATGAAACTTAGTTTGTAAAAATCCACAATTAATCTTAAACACATTTTTAATAGAAAACTAATGAGAAACCAACTTCCACCAATAATTCTGAAAGCGTTTTAATTGAAGTCTAATACCAAAATCAATTGAAATCCAATTTAAAATCAAATTCCACCGTTAAACTTAAATGAAGCAAAAACCCTGTGTTTTACAGTGATTTCTTGCAAACACATCTCCAAAATTGAGGTTTTGAGCTATTTTTGGATCAATTTTGTGAGATCCAAGCCTATCCCAGTTTAGAGGGAATACCAAAAACCAATAAACCAAAAAACAAAAAAAAACAAACAAACCAATGTTTGAGACAAAATGCAGCCAACATCCAAAAACCAATAGTGCCCCCATTGTGTCTCAAACATTGGTGTTTTTTTTTGGTTTGTTT